CTTTCTTCATAACTCATTCTGGAAGACCAAGCATTATGACGGTACTACAAATTCAGCTGCTGCAATTTTGTGTTCCTACAAGAAAACACTCGTATATATGCCCATGGTACAGCCCAACTCTTTGAAAAATACTTAGCTAACACAAAATTGCTCAAATAAAAAAAAATTCTGGATAATGCCCTATACCATCCCATTTCACTAAATTATCCTACTTCACACAAAGAGTTGTGTTTCTCCCTATGAATACTTGATTTATCCAATGGCTAAAGCTTTATTATACATAATGAAACTTATACCATCTCCTCTCATCAGAAACCTTGATGGCAAAATTAAGTCAACAGTCTGGGAAGATTATTCAAGCCATGTAAACATTCAAGTGAACTTGGGAATTACTGTAAAATCATTCAGATTTGAGAGCTATTTTAGTGAGAAGAGAACAAGAATAATAACAAATGACCACACTGTTTTATACATATAACAACATCTTAAGTTTGACAGACTACAAACTTAGTGGCTGTCCCATCACAGCCTAAGATGTTAATGCCATCAGAAAATCCCCAGACAAATACAAGCCTCCGAGGTCATAAACCAAGCAATATACATTTTTTTTTTTCATGAGTGGCTTCCTCAGAGACAAATGAAATGTACAGAGAATCACAGAGCTATTACAGTATGGGATCAGAGTATAGATACATAGGTAAGAAGTGACTGTGCAACCAAATAAACAAACCACAAGGTGATGTTATCTGTACATTAGATTCATGTGAAATGAGTTCCTTAATACTATAAATGATAGTTGAAGTGCTGGCAGTAAAAACTAAAAAGCAAAATTCAGTCATCAAACTTGTATTCGAACCAACAGATGCATATCCCATGAAGATTAACCTAGACAAAGGCATCACCCCACATGCTCTAAAAACTACAGATATAGCCCTCACTCCACAAAGGTGGCAGTAAAGTAATCACTTTGTCACAAATTTTTGAGAGTGCTGAGAAGATTGCTAAACACATGGAATCAAAATACTTATACAACCCAAGATGGGTATCCTATAACTCTTTTTAAATTTTCAGTAAACTTGTTACCTTTTTTCATAACCCATTCTATTGTTCTATGAAATAGTGAATTAATAATATCCATACAACTTCATTTTAAGTTTATATCTTATATGGGTGTGAAGCATAGGTTGTGAATGCTGTAGTAAGAAGCCTGGATGTAATGATGTCATGTTTGAGGGCAATGTGTGGTGTAAATATCAGGCAGAGAATTCATAGTTGGGAGATTAGGAGGTGCAGGATTACTAAAACTATTTATGCAGAGGGCTGAGGAGGGGTTGCTGATGTGGTTTGGACATTTAGAGAGCAGAACAAAATAGGATGACTTGGAGGGTGTATAAATCTGTAGTGGAGATTAAGGTGGGGTAGGGGTCATCCTTGGAAAGGATGGAAGTAGGAAGTAAAAGAGGTTTAGCATGTGAGGGGCTTGGACATCCAACAGATATGTACAGGAGGGCCCTACTTATACAGAACGTTACGTTCTGAGCTACTGTTGTAAAGCAAAACTCATTGTGAGGGAAACAGACTTTTTTCTTTTTTTTTACTTTCAAATGCATATAAAAGCCTGATAACATGTTTACACTATTATATATTAAGAGAGTAATAAAGCTAGGCCTAAAAAATGCATACATGTACTATACACACATTAACCCTTTGACTGTTTCGGCCGTATATATACGTCTCATGAGCCAGTGTTTCGGACAAATATATATACTCAATAATTCTAGTGGCTTCAAATCAAGCAGGAGAAAGCTGGTAGGCCCACATGTGAGAGAATGGGTCAGTGTGCACTGTATAAAAAAATCCTGCAGCACGCAGTGCATGAGAGAAAAAACTCCGACCGTGTTTTTGGATTAAAACTCAGACTTTGAGGTGTATTTTCCTATAGTACAGTGGACCCCCGGTTAACGATATTTTTTCATTACAGAAGTATGTTCAGGTGCCAGTACTGACCGAATTTGTTCCCATAAGGAATATTGTGAAGTAGATTAGTCCATTTCAGACCCCCAAACATACACGTACAAACGCACTTACATAATTGGTCGCATTGGGAGGTGATCGTTAAGCGGGGGTCCACTGTATTTATGGTTGTACTCTCGTTTTCTTGGTCTCATTTGATAGAATGGGAAACATACAGTGGAACCTCAAAAATCAAACTTAATCCGTTCCAGGAGCTAGCTCTAAATTCGAAAAGTCTGAAATTCGAAGCAATATTTCCCATAAGAAATAATGGAAATACAATTAAACCGTTCCAGAAACCCAAAAATATTCACACAAAAAATACATTTTATAGAGATTAATTACAGTTTTACATACAACAAATACTATAGTTTTTAATTATGTATAGTAATACATATAAAATAACATTTTTACTTACCTTTATTGAAGATTGGTGATGGTATCTGGAAGATAGGGAGGAGGAGAGAGGGAGTTGGAGTTAGTGTTTGGAAGGAGAATCCCCCTCCATGAGGACTTCAGGTAAAGCCCTCTCTGGGGTTACTTCCCTTCTCTGTCTTTTAATGCCACTAGGACCAGCTTGAGAGTCACTGGACCCCTGTCTCACAAAATAACTGTCCACAGTCCTCTGTTTCTGGCACCTCTTTAACATTTCCCTAAAATGGGACATGGTTCTGTCACTGAACTTGTTGCAAAGATGGCTTGTTTCAGCTTGCTCAGGGTGGTATTTCTGCACAAACATTTGGATATCATTCTACTTGGCACAAATCTCCTTAATCTTTGAAGAAGGCACCTCATCCACTCCCTATATTAACACCTTTCGCAACATCAGCTTCCTTGATTTGTTCTTTCTTTGACAGGATAGAACCGATGGCCGACTTGTTTTTCGCATACATCCTCGCAAGCTCAACAAGTCTCACACCACTCTCATACTTCTGTATTATTTCCTTCTTCACATCTATGGTGTTTCTCACTTTTTTTACCACAGGGGTACCACTAGCAAGTTTCTTTGGGCCCATGGCAGCTTATTTCACAGTCCCACAAGCACTAAACACAACGAAATAATCGTAAAATGTGTGAATGAGAGCACAGGTTAGTGTTCACTCAAGCATAAACAAAGCTAGACTGCTCATGGCGCCTGCGTGGGGATGCGGACAGAGTGGGTGGCAGACAGGTCCCGTACCCGGCGGTCCGAAAATAGGGGTACATTCGATAATAGGAACACAGTTTGTCCGAAAAAATGGTCCTATTTTCGAAACGTTCGAAACGTGATACGTTCGATTTTTGAGGTTCCACTGTATTACAGAAATAGGGATGATTTTGATTAGTTTCCCAATGAAAACGACCTTGTAATTGACCTCAAAATAGCAGAAATGTTCAATTTTTACCAATGTTCAAGAGTAAGCAAATCACACCACACATCCAATACACGTCAACTGGGGAGTCTAATATTCTTTTACTAGTGCACTGATATTATTTATACCATTTTTACAATAATGCAGTAGTCTGCATAACAGTAAATCTTCTAGTTTTTGTGTGAATAAAAAATCAAAATAGAAAGCAAGAGTAATATAAGAGGGGGCTGGAGACGTGACTAATGAACAGAGGATATGTTATTTAAGTGCCAAGAATGTCGGCATTGTTTATACTGGACCCTATTTTGAAATTGTCATCTTTTTTAATTTGCATGAAATTGGCCAAATTGTCAATTTCTGACCACTTTATTGGATAGATGAAATTGGTAAATGGGCAGTTTCTTGTACTCAACTGATAGAAAAAATGGAGTTCTAAAGAAATAGCTATGAGTTTGGTCGACTGAAACAATGTAATTGGCCAAAAATAGGGCTCAAAGTCAGGGAAATCGCCGATGCGTATATATTGCCGATATATTTCAGTCAAATTTCGTACTTTTGGTGTCATTACCATCGGGAAAAGATTCTCTATCATTTCATAAGAAAAAATTTTTTTTTTTTTTTCCAAAAATTTTCCGACATCAGGAGACACTTCAGGATTTGGGGTTACAACAGTCAAAGGGTTAAATTATTTTCATCCTTAGCTTATAGTGAGTGGTGAATATGTTTATTATAAGTCTGAATCAGTGAAGACTGGGTATAATTGAAATCCGCTACATTAGCAAAATGCTGTAAAGCGAGGCACTGTAAAGGCTCGCCTGTATGAGCATGTTAGATTGGAGTGGAGGCAAGTGGTTTTTTATGACTTGACATGTTGTTGGAGCATGAGAAAGGTAACATTCATGAAAGGACTCAGAGAAACTGGCTAGCCGGACTTAGGTCCTGAAGGTGGAAAGTACAGTGCCTGCATGCTGAAGGAGGGGTGGGGATACTGCAGTTTGGAGGAGTATCTGAAATGTATTATTATCAGCAAGCCTCTGGCAAGGCAGTGATGGAGTGAGTGATGGTGAGCGTATCTTCTCTTTCAGGTCACCCTACCTCGGTGGAGGACAGCAAGTGTGTTAAAAAAAATTAATGGCATCTAGTTCTTCCTGTTGATGGCTTTAGGAAACATCCTTTATCACTTCTTTCCTTTTCCTTTTTTAATATTGAATGCAGTTATTATGTTGTCACTTTTTCCTATCAGACAATAAACAATTATCAATTGCTTGCAATCTTATTTCACAATACACTTTGTTTAGATCTTGAAGCCATTTTCTAGCCATTTTATATTTGCATGTAAATAAGCAAGTATGTATGAATAAGTAGATGTTAGATGTTGTGCAGTGAGGATTGCTTTTTTTAAATAATGTACACTAAATCTATAACATCAAAGGTTGCACAAAAATCAATCAGAAGAATATAAGTAAGTTATTAAAAAAAATCACTACACTTACTCAATATATAGCTGAAGTATTTTACTACGAAAATCAAATTATGAAAAATGTAAATAATGTAACACTCAAAATACAGTACAGATAAAAATATATTGCAAGGAAAAATCACTTAATAATCAAATTTGCACATTTGTGAACTTACCATAAGAATCTACATCCATCTTGGCATTATGATCTAAGAGAAGCTTCATGATGTCCAATGAACCAGACTCTGCACAATCATGTAGTGCTGTGTTACCCTTAACACTTTTGCGATTGACATTTGCTGTAATTTCTATGAGGTATTTGGCAATCTCAAAGTGGCCTTTATAACAAGCGATCATCAAACATGTGTGGCCATGGCGGTTGGCAACCTCAATGTCTGAAATGAGAAATGACCAATTCTTACTGTATACAATACAGTACTGAAATTTAAAGCCAATACCTGAAAATATTTTTATATGGTCCCATTTTTTAATATTTACCATGTTACATTATCAATCAAAAAGTTATACAGTCTGAACATATATGCTGTAAAGTATTAGTTTAGCTGATTATTTCCTTTACAACAAAGTACTTGAAAGTCCAACAGGCTTATATGAATGAGTTCGATAGCACTTAGTGGAGACAAGTGATGATTATAACTTGATGTGCTGTTGGAGTGTGAACAAGGTAACATTTGTGAAGGGATTCAGGGAATTGATTATCCAAACTTGAGTCCTGGAGGTAGAAGCACACTGTCTCCATTTCAAAGAAGGACTGAATTCTGCAGTTGGAGGGTCAGTTCAACAGTGATGTTAGCACATTTATCACAAGAAAGCAATTGAGTGAATGATGGTAAATATGCTTTTCCCCCTACCTCTGTGGAAGATAAACAGTTTATCTCCCCCAAGTTTATAAGCTGATAAGAAGTATACTATTGTTGATCTGGTTAAATGAGACATACAGGGTACAACAATCTGACTGAGTACACAGCAACACCTGACATGCTGGGTATTAAGCAAGCCTCACTCTGTATGCTGCCAGATGTGGTACCTGCTAAGACAATCTTAAAATAGGCATAAATAAAGGAGATATAACCAAGAAAACTCAAAATAGATTCAAACTGAATAAAATCAGATTTAGAAAGGATATAGATAAATACTGGTTAGGTAATACAGTGGATCCTTGGTTTTTGTGATTAATCCATTCCAGAGAGTCTGCCAAAAACCAAAATTCATGAAAACTAAAACCATTTTCCCCATAAAAAATAATGTAAATCCAATTAATCTGTTCCAGACACCCAAAAGTATTAACAAAAAATAATTTTTTTAATTTTTTTTAGAGATTAAATATAGATTTACATACAGAAAACAATGACAAATTATTACAAAAAAAGTGATTTTTAAAGATGGTAGGTTTACTCATTTTGTAATAAAGAGTTCGGGATACATATATACAACATTAAAATCAATTAATCTTTAATATTATATAAAACACACAATCTTTGGTCTAGAGGTATTTAAAATATATATACATGTTACAATAATAAATTACAGTGGACCCCCGGTTAACGATTTTAATCCGTGCAAGAGGGGTAATTGTTATGCGAAATAATCGTTATGTGAATGAATTTTCCCCATAAGAAATAATGGAAATAAAATTAATCCGTGCAAGACACCCAAAAGTATGAAAAAAAAATTTTTTTTACCACATGAAATATTAATTTTAATACACACAAACTGAAAAAGGCATGCACACTTACATGACACTTACTTTTATTGAAGATCTGGTGATGATTGATGGGATGGGAGGAGGGGAGAGCATTATCTTCTTACTGTTTAGAAGGGGAATCCCCTTCCATTAGGACTTGAGGTAGCAAGTCCTTTTCTGGGGTTACTTCCCTTCTTCTTTTAATGCCACTAGGGCCAGCTTCAGAGTCACTGGACTTCTTTCGCACAAGATATCTGTCCATAGTGGCCTGTACCTCTCGTTCCTTTATCACTTCCCTAAAGTGTTTCACAACATTGTCAGTGTACAGGTTGCCAACACGGCTTGCAATAGCTGTGTGAGGGTGATTTTCATCCATGAAGGTTTGCACTTCAAGCCACTTTGCACAGATTTCCTTTATCTTTGTAGTAGGCAACTTCTTCAATTTCTCTCTCCCCTCCTCTGAACCAGTTTCCCCAGGTCTGGCCTCTTGCTCTTGAAGTTGATCTATCAGCTCATCAGTGGTTAGTTCTTCATTGTCCTCCTCCACCAACTCTTCCACATCCTCCCCACTAACCTCCAACCCCAAGGACTTTCCCAATGCCACAATGGATTCCTCAACTGCACAGGATTCTCAGGGTTAGCCTCAAACCCTTCAAAATCCCTTTTGTCTACACATTCTGGCCACAGTTTCTTCCAAGCAGAGTTCAAGGTCCTCTTAGTCACTTCCTCCCAAGCCTTACCTATAAGGTTTACACAATTGAGGATATTAAAGTGATCTCTCCAAAACTCTCTTAGAGTCAGTTGAGTTTCTGAGGTCATTACAAAGCACCTTTCAAACAGAGCTTTTGTGTACAGTTTCTTGAAGTTGGAAATAACCTGCTGGTCCATGGGCTGCAGGAGAGGAGTGGTATTAGGAGGCAAAAACTTCACCTTAATGAAGCTCATGTCCCCATAAAGTCGCTCTGCCACGTCTGTAGGATGACCAGGGGCATTGTCTAACACCAGGAGGCACTTAAGTTCTAATTTCTTTTCAGTTAGGTAATCTTTCACATTGGGGGCAAATGCATGGTGTAACCAGTTATAGAAAAATTCCCTAGTGACCCATGCCTTACTGTTTGCCCTCCACAGCACACACAAATTATCCTTGAGGACATTCTTTTGCCTGAACGCTCTGGGAGTTTCAGAGTGATACACTAATAAAGGCTTCACTTTGCAATCACCAGTAGCATTGGCACACATGAGAAGAGTAAGCCTGTCTTTCATAGGCTTATGTCCTGGGAGTGCCTTTTCCTCCTGAGTAATGTAGGTCCTGCTTGGCATTTTCTTCCAGAACAGGCCTGTTTCATCACAATTAAACACTTGTTCAGGTTTCAGTCCTTCAGTTTCTATGTACTCCTTGAATTCCTGCACATATCTTTCAGCCGCTTTGTGGTCCGAACTGGCAGCCTCACCATGCCTTATCACACTATGGATGCCACTACGCTTCTTAAATCTCTCAAACCAACCTTTGCTGGCCTTAAATTCACTCACATCATCACTAGTTGCAGGCATTTTTTTAATTAAATCGTCATGCAACTTCCTAGCCTTTTCACATATGATCGCTTGAGAGACGCTATCTCCTGCTAGCTGTTTTTCATTTATCCACACCAATAAGAGTCTCTCAACATCTTCCATCACTTGCGATCTTTGTTTCGAAAACACAGTTAAACCTTTGGCAAGAACAGCTTCCTTGATTGTCTTTTTGGTGCCCACAATAGTAGCGATGGTTGATTGGGGTTTCTTGTACAACTTGACTAGGTCGGCGATACGCACTCCACTTTCATACTTATCAATGATCTCTTTCTTCATTTCAATGGGAATTCTTACCCTTATTGGAGTACGGTTGGCACTAGAAGCTTTCTTGGGGCCCATGGTCACTTATTTTCCAGAAACAGCACCGAAAACACTGTAATAATACGAAATATTCCGAGTGTATGCTTGGATGTTAGCGCGGAGGCTGGCTGGTAAACAATGGCACGGGCGGCACATGTGAGGCTGGCTGAGGGCGCACATTGGACGCATCTCGGACGAAAATTGGTGAGCGGGTTTTTAATCGGTATGCGCGGCAAAAATTTTGCGATTAAAGTAAGCGGTATGCGAAATAATCGCTATGTGATGCCATCGTTATGCGGGGGTCCACTGTATTAGCATCTTAAAATAATAATATATATATCTATGCTAAAATAATAAATTATACGTAACATATTTACAATAATAAATTACAATCAACTCCTTATGACGCTCCGTGTCTCTCATGACACTTATCCGTGGTGTGTTGTGACGCTCCCTCTCAACTGTGTCACTTGACACCCTTTCTTCCGTGTAATGACGCTCCTGCTCAACCGTGTCCACTAGACACCCTTTTCTCTGTGTCACACGACACTCCTACTCTCCGTGTCACACGACACCCTTTTCTCTGTGTCATACACTATCTCTACTGTGTCACTCTTGACACCCTTGTCTCTGCGTCGCACACTATCACCCACAGCGTCTTTCTTGAGGCCAGTCACATACTATTCAATGTACACTACAACCAGGCCATCTTCAGTGTCACAAGACACCCTTTTCTTCTCAGTGTTCCACTATGGTCCTGTAGCATATCTCAGTGTTCCACTCCATCATACTTCCCTAAGTGTCACACTACGGTCCTAGCCCAGTTCAGTGTAACACTCCAACCTTTACTTCATGTAATGTCCCACTAAAACAGCATCAGATGAGTCCGACCCACAGTTGACCAGCGTAGGCGGTGAGTCCGCAGACATCACCGGTAGTCCTGTAAATACTCTCCAAGGCCGGTAGAAGTACACCGTAAGATGGTCTGGTGAGTACTATCTACCGCCTTCAAGACCAATTGACACACTGCAAGGTGGTCCGATGAATTACTAGCAGAACACCATGCTGCAAGCTCACTGAGTGCGGCCGTCAAGTAACTGAGGCCATCAGACTCAGTGAGCTGCAGTGAGCGGCTCTTCTAAAATCAGTAGAAGCCAGTAGAATACTCTACTGCCAGTAGATGTGTACCATTAGGTGTTCTGGTAACTACTGCTTCGATGCATACCATGAGGTGTTCAGGTACTTACTGCTTCTAAAGCCAGTAGATGTGTACCGTGAGGTGTTCAGGTACTTACTACTGCTAAGGCCAGTAGATGTGTACCATGAGGTGTTCAGGTACCTACTGCTTCTAAAGCTGGCTCAGCAGTCCCCACAATGGGTTTGATGACGTACCCAGTGGTACTGCCAGCCGGCAGGTTAACTATTTAACCACTAGTTTGGCAGGGGGCCGTACCACAAATCAATATAGTAAAGCAATACAGTAATAACATCACACTTACCTATATTGAAGACTCTTGTTGGTGTATGGAAGATGGGAGGGGTGGAGAGGGAGAAGTTACTATTGTTTGGAAGAGGAATCACCTTCCATAAAGACTTCAGGTACTGAGTCCTTATCTGGGGTTACTTCCCTTCTTCGTTTTTTAATGGCACTAGGACCAGCTTGAGAGTCACTGAACCCCTGTCGCACAAAATATTGTTCCAGAGAGCTCTATTTCTAGCAACTCTTTATGATTTGCCTAAAATGGGACATGGCATTGTCATTGTACATGTTGCCAACACGGCTTGCAAGAGCTTTGTCTGGGGGATGTTCCTCCACAAATGTTTGCACCCCACTCCACTTTGCACAAATGTCCTTAATCTTTGAAGAAGGCACCTTGTTCCATCTCTCTTCCTCCTCCTCCTCCTCTGCAGCAAATTCCTGAGCTGTGGTCTGTTGCTGTTGCAGATGAAGCTCTTGCAGCTCTTCAGTGATTAGCTCTTCACTGTGGTCCTCCACCAACTCTTCCATATCCTGGCCACTCACATCCAACCCCATGGAATTCCCCAATGCCACAGTACATTCCACAACAGGGTCAGCCCCAAACCCTTCAAAATCCTTCTGTTGGACACATTTTGGCCACAATTTTCTCCAAGCAGAGTTCATCGTCCTGGAAGTCACTACCTGCCAAGCCTTATTTATAAGGGTGATGAAATTGAGGATATTGAAGTGATCCTTCCAGAACTCTCTTAGGGTCAATTCAGTGTCCGAGGTCATGTCAAAGCACCTTTGAAACATTGCTTTGGTGTAGAGTTTTTTGAAGTTTGAAATGATCTGCTGGTCCATGGGCTGGATGAGAGGAGTGGTATTAGGGGGCAAAAACTTCACTGTGATGAAACTAAACTCATCCACCATTTGGTCATCCAAGTCTGGAGGATGAGCACGAGCACTGTCCATTACCAGGAGGCACTTGAGTGACAATTTATTTTTCCAGGAGGTATTTTTTCACACTCGGACCAAACACTTCATTGAACCAATCAAGGAAAATTTACCTCGTGATCCATGCCTTATTGTTAGCCTTCCACATCACACACAATTTATACTTGGCGACAATGCTTTTCTGGGATTTTCAGAGTGATACACCAGTAAAGGCTTCACTGTTAAATCCACACTAGCATTACCACAGAACAAGAGAGTTACCTTGTCTTTCACAGGCTTGTGTCCTAGCAGTGCCTTTCCCTCCTGCGTGATGTAGGTCCTCCTTGGCATTTTCTTCCAAAAGAGGCCTGTTTCATCACAATTGAACACTTGTTGGTGAAGGAATTCTTCTGCCTCTACACACTCCTTGAATTCATACACGAATTTTTCAGCCACACAATTTTCTGAACTTGCTCCCTCACCATGCCTTACAACACTGTGTATGCCACTTCATTTCTTGAAATTTTCGAGCCAGCCTTTGCTGGCCTTAAATTCACTAACAGTAGCACTCGTTCTAGGTATTTTCTTTACAAGATCGGCATACAACTGCCTTGCCTTTTCGCAAATTATCAACTGCACAACACTATCTCCTGCTAACTGTTTTTGTTGGATCCACAACAAAAACAATTTCTCCAATATGTTTGACTGTGACCTCTGTTTCGGTATCACAGTTACCCCTTTTGCAACATCAGCTTCCTTGATTTCCTTTTCCTTCCCAATGATGGAAGTGATGGTTAAATGGGGCTTCCCATACATTTTGGCAAGATCGTTGATACGTACGCCACTTTCATATATCTATGATTTCTTTCTTTAATTTTAACGTGTTTCTCACCTTCTTTACCAAAGGCCTGGCACTAGGAGCTTTCTTTGGGGCCATGGTGTTTTATTTAGCAGTTGCAAGCACAAAAAACACTGGATTATTGCGAAATGTTTCGTATGAATGCTGGGTGTGATGCTCACCCGACGATAAACAATGCCAAACTGTTGCTGAGTGCGTCTGTGGCAGCGTTTGTGTGTGTGGGGCCACTGGGACATGTACCGTACCACCGCCAAAATCCAAGGGAAATCACGAAAACCAAGCCTATATTTTGATGAAAAAAGTTGCCGATAACCAAAATTCATGATAACCAAGACTGATGAAAACCAAGGGTCTACTGTAGTGTGATTGATGAGTGAAACAATCAGTCAGGTAGTAGGGTCACTGAAGCCAATACTTTGGATATCTTAAAAAAAGACTAGATAAATATGCAAGTGAGAGGAGTTAGATTTGAGAAGGACCTGTCAAACATGAGCCAGAAGGTCTACTGCAGCGTTCTTCCATTCTTATGTTCTTATACTTCACCCAGGCTCCCATACAATAGCCAATCAAATAAAATTAAAAAATGCAATGTTTTGGTACTCTGTGATTGACAAACACAATATGTCTGGTGTTATAACATTACTTTGTACACATAATTACTTATACCGAGAAAGTAGCACTGTACTGTAATGTAGTAAAATACAGTACAAGAGATTAATACTTTCCTAAGGCTGGTTAATAAGAACTGTATAAACAAAGCAAAATGCATTAAGATGTTAACATTAGAGGGAAACTACAACCATTCTGATATGAGAAAATTTTTAATAGAAATATCAGAACACTAGTTCTAAACCAAGAAATAACAAAATGCCAAGTACGTATAAGCCTCCTCCTCAAGGAGATAAAAGCAGTACTGCATTTCAAACTATCATAGAGCATAATGAAACCTAGTATGACAATCAAGTATGGATAATGGTGGACAATTTTTCGAAATGCAATCAAATAAATAGGTCACAATGAGCTAATTAACAATACAAGAAATGTGCAAAAAATGATAGCAGCTAAAACCGAAAATAAAAATTTTAATCCATGTTCTGTATATAATCTACCAAAAGCAAACTTGCAGTAGTTTAATGATCAAGTACTGTAGTAACTCAAACAATCCCTTACAAAAACCTGCATCTGACTGGTCAGGGCATCAAGCAGACCTTGTCAGAGACTGCATTTGGGATGATAACCCCAGAACCACCACAACATATACACACTATAAATATACAAAAGAAATACCATAATGTGACACTGTAAAAGTCATAATACCATAGGTGGAACAATTTACAACCAATCAGAAATGGAAACCAGACAAATGTTTTAATTTCTATTTCCAATATGTTGGTGAGTTGTAAATGAAGTATGATTCTTAAAATGAGAAAAAAAAAAAAAAAACTAACCTGAATTATGTTCGACTAAATATTTTACAATCTCAAAATGTCCATCAAAGCAAGCTGCTCTGAGTGGAGTGGAGTTGGTCTTGGTTGTTGCATTGACGTTAGCACCTTTCTCTAGGAGATAGGATACAACATCCAGGTGACCAGCTGCTGCAGCGCACCATAGAGGAGGAGCTCCATCTATGGTCTCACCATCAAACACAACTGCAATGTGCACTAAATCATTATTAACTTGCCACACTTCACAGCAAAATAGATATTCAGAGTATATATGAAATACGTATGGAGATAAATTAAAACGTCTAAAAATGTAATGTAAAACTTGGAAAAACCCACATTTTAAAACATACAAGTTTTTTTTTTAAATTCCTGATGTTGATCAATGTTTATCACACTTAGGAACAGCTCAGTATCAACAATAAGCTTGGTATCATCTGAAGCTCTGCTTCCCAGAAGAACTGTTAACTAAAGCTACAGCAATTTTTTATATACAGTGGTACCTCGGGATATGAACAGCTCAAAACTTGAACAATTACGTAAATGTATTTATGTAAGTGCTTTTGTAAGTGTATTTTTGGGGGTCTAAAACGGATTACTCTAATTTACATTATTCCTTATGGGAACAAATTTGTTTGGCATCAGCACTCGAACAGCCTTCTGGAACGAAACAAGTTCGTATCCCGAGGTGCCACTGTACTTTCTTTAAGTAACTCACAAATTCAATGTTAAGAAAATGCCTTTCCCATCATCTAGAACACTATAATATTTTTTGCTTATTTTACAAAATCTTCTGTATATGTATTTATATCATGTTTATGTTAGTATGTACTGTGCTGTATCATGCATTTTATTCCTCCAACTGCATAATCAGGGTTAAAAGAAGAGTACACTAGATATAATGTATATACAATACCTACTGTATACACATCTGTGCACCAGTTTGGTTGAAGTTAAATTTTGTAATAAATAAGTCACAGACTCTAGATTCACATGTTCAGGTTCTCTCTACAAGAGCAGTTCACATCAAGATTCACATGTTCTGGATCTCTCCATGAGAGCAGCTCACACCAAGATTCACATGTTCTGGTTCTCTCCATGAGAGCAGCTCATACTATGATTTATATATCGTCTGCTTCCCTCTATTTATATACACATATTTAGGATTAAGATAATTGGAAAATGGATATAGTATGTACAGTGGTACCTTCCTGAAAGTGGCAAGAAAAGGGTTAAGTGTTTAAGTCTTAAAAATAAAATCGAGCTTGTGTCAGGATGTCATCTCATGAAAAGAAAGATACAACAAGTATATAAAATGGAAGACCTATTGCTTGAGTGGAGTGAACAAAAAACAAAGAAAGGTGCACCACTTAATTTCATCTTAATTAGGGAAAAGACCTTACAGTTATTTAAAGCAGAATGTGAAAAGGAAGGAAGGCCTGAAAAAGTGTGTGTTTAGCAATGACTGGTTCCACAACTTTAAGTTGCGTAATAAGTTACGTACATAATATTAAGTTTTCTGGTGAAAGTGCTTCAGCTGAGGGTGGCTACGAGCCACATCAAGTGTTTAATGCTGACGAGACAAGTGTTTTTTGGAAGAAAATGCCAACAAGAACTTGTATCAGTCAGCAAGAGAAAAGTGCAATGGGCTTCAAGGCAGCAAAGGATCACTTCACCTTGCTCCTTTACAGTAATGCATCAGGCGATTTCAAGTATAAGCCCATGGTTATTTACCACTCAAAGAATCCGTGTGCTTTGAAAGGTGTAGATAAAAACACCGTACCAGCAACTGGAGGTCAAACCAGTCAGCATAGCTGACAGGAAATATTTACTGACTGGTTTAAGCATCACTTTATTCCTGAAGTCGAGTTTTACCTGCACAGCAAGAATCTTGCATTCAAGGCTCTCTTCATTCTTGATAATTCCCATAGTCATCCAGAAGCTTTGCTGGATGTGACCCCACATGTAAAAGTTGTATTTTTACCTCCAAATACATCATCTTCAATACAACTACTGGATCAGGGAGTTACTGAGTCATGCAAGTGTAACTACACAAGAAGTGATGAAAAAACTAGCTGCATCAATGGACTGACTCCAACCTGGCAGTAATAAGCTTCTGGAATAATGTATAATGTACTGCAGGGTAAAAGAAGCCAGAGATCCATTACAGAATTTATGCACACTCCAATGCAACCATCGACTTTAGTAGCAACAACAATTTAAGGTAAATAATATTATTTCCATTGCATTTGTAGTCTTAATCAACAAAACAACAAAGCTACATTGTACTATTGTAAATTGTACTAATTTAAATTTTTTTTTGCTACCTCTCTACAATTTTTTCTTTTTTTCAAGGCATCGGTTGTATCCCACCGAGGCAGGGAGACCTAGAAAGAAAAAATAAAGTTTTTCCTTCTACATTTAATAATTTATACAGGAGAAGGGGCTACTAGCCCCTTGCTCCTGGCATTTTAGTCACCTCTTATGACCCCTGCAACCACAATAAGGTGAGTACATGGCTTATGGAGGAAGAATTCTTTTCCACTTTCCCATGGAGATAAAAGGAAAGAAAGAAAGCACAAGAACTATCAAGAAAATAGAAGAAAACTCAGATGAGTGTGTTTACATATGCGTGTACAGTGGAACCTCAAAAATCGGACGTATCACATATCGAACGTTTCGAAAATAGGACCATTTTTTCGGACAAACTCTGTCCCTATTATCAAATGTGCCCCTATTTTCGGACCACCGGGTATGGGACCTGTCTGCCGGCCCGCTCTGTCCGCATCCCTGCGCAGGCACCATGAGCAGTCTAGCTTTGTTTATGCTTGAGTGAACACTAACCTGCGCTCTCATTCACGCATTTTACGATTATTTCGTTGTTTAGTGCTTGTGGAACTGTGAAATAAGCTGCCATGGGCCCAAAGAAACTTGCTAGTGGTACCCCTGTGGTAAAGAAAGTGAGAAACACCATAGATGTGAAGAAGGAAATAATACAGAAGTATGAGAGTGGTGTGAGACTTGCTGAGCTTGCCAGGATGTATGGGAAAAACAAGTCGACCATCGGTTCTATCCTGTCAAAGAAAGAACAAATCAAGGAAGCTGATGTTGCGAAAGGTGTTAATATAGGGAGTGGATGAGGTGCCTTCTTCAAAGATTAAGGAGATTTGTGCCAAGTGGAATGATGTCCAAATGTTTGTGCAGAAGTACCACCCTGAGCAAGCTGAAACAAGCCATCTTTGCAACAAGTTCAGTGACAGAACCATGTCCCATTTTAGGGAAATGTTAAAGAGGCGCCAGAAACAGAGGACTGTGGACAGTTATTTTGTGAGACAGGGGTTCATTGACTCTCAAGCTGGTCCTAGTGGCATTAAAAGACAGAGAAGGGAAATAACCCCAGAGAGGGCTTTACCTGAAGTCCTCATGGAGGAGGATTCTCCTTCCAAATACTAACCCCAACTCCCTCTCTCCTCCTCCCTATCTTCCAGATGCCATCACCAATCTTCAATAAAGGTAAGTAAAAATGTTATTTTATATGTATTACTATACATAATTAAAAACTATAGTATTTGTTGTATGTAAAACTGTAATTAATCTCTATAAAATGTATTTTTTGTGTGAATATTTTTGGGTTTCTGGAACGGATTAATTGTATTTCCATTATTTCTTATGGGAAATATTGCTTCGAATTTCAGACTTTTCGAATTTAGAACTAGCTCCTGGAACGGATTAAGTTCGATTTTTGAGGTTCCACTGTACATGCATGTGTAGCGTGACCTAACTGTAAGCAGAAGTAGCAAAATATACCTGTTACAGTGGAACCTCAAATTTCGAACTTAATCTGTTCCAGGAGCTAGTTCTAAATTTGAAAAGTCTGAAAAGCGAAGCAATATTTCCCATAAGAAATAATGGAAATGCAATTAATCCGTTCCAGAAACCCAAAAATATTCACAAAAAAAATACATTTTATAGAGATTAATTTTAGTTTTACATACACACAACAAATATAGTGTACAATTATGTATTATAAACATATAATAATGTATTATAAACATATAAACATATAAAATAACAATTTTACTTCCCTTTATTGAAGATTGGTGATGGCATCTGGAAGATAGGGAGGAGGAGAGAGGGAGTTGGGGTTAGTGTTTGGAAGGGGAATCCTCCTCCATGAGGACTTCAGGTAAAGCCCTCTCTGGGGTTATTTCCCTTCTCTGTCTTTTAATGCCACTAGGACCAGCTTGAGAGTCAATGAACCCCTGTCTCACAAAATAACTGTCCACAGTCCTCTGTTTCTGGTGCCTCTTTAAGATTTCCCTAAAATGGGACATGGTTTTGTCACTGAACTTTTCACAAATAATCATCTCTGAAACACTATCACCTGCCATCTCTTTATCCTTGATCCACACCAGCAACAACTTCTCAACCTGATCGATTGTCTGTGGTCTTGTTTTTGGTTAGCATATTAACACCTTTCGCAACATCAGCTTCCTTGACCTTTGCCACGATAGAAGCGATGGTCGACTTGTTTTTCCCATACATCCTGGCAAGCTCAAGTTTCACACCACTCTCATACTTCTGTATTATTTCCTTCTTCACATCTATGGTGTTTCTCACTTTCTTTACCACAGGGGTACCATTAGCAAGTTTCTTTGGGCCCATGGTAGCTTATTTCACAGTCCCACAAGCACTAAACACAATGAATTAATCGTAAAATGTTTGAATGAGAGTGCAGGTTAGTGTTCACTCAAGCATCAACAAAGCCAGACTGGCTCAAGGCGCCTGCGGGGAGACGCAGACAGAGCGGGCTGGCGGACAGGTCCGGTACCCAGTGCTTCGAAAATAGGGGCGAGTTTGATAATAGGTACAAAGTTGGTTCAAAAAAAGCGGTAGATTTTCGAAGAGTTCGATAAACGATACGTTCAAAATCTGAGGTTCTACTGTATCTTACGTTTTTATGAGATGGAAAAAAAGACACCTACAATCTTACCATCATGTAAAACAATTACAGTGTTCCATTTCACACTCACTTGGTAGGACAGTAGTACATACCTTCATGGGCAGTAGCTGTCTACCAACCTACTACAGTGGAACCTCGGTTTTCGTCATTAATTCGTTCCAGAAAGTTTGACGAAAACCAAATTCGACGAAAATTGAAACAATATTTCCCATAAGAAACAATGTAAATCCAATTAATCTGTTCCAGACACCCAAAAGTATTAACAAAAAATACATTTTATTGAGAATAACTATAGTTTTACATATAGAAAACAATGAGAAATAATTATAAAGACTAATGAAATGGATAAATGAACATTTAACATCACTTTTACCTTTATTGAAGACTCTTGTTGGCGTATGGAAGACGGCAAGGAGGGGAGAGGGAGGAGACGTTATCTCTACCACCATCACTACCACCCTCTACTGTAATCACTACCACTCTCTACCACAATCACTACCACTCTCTACCACAATCACTACCGCCCTCTACCACTACCACCCTCTACCACATCTACTAAGTGTAAGTAGAAGTAGCAAGATATACCTGTTATTGTACATGTTTATGAGATAAAAAAAAAAAGACACCAGCAATCTTACCATCTTGTAAAACAATTACAAGGTTCCATTTCACACTCACTTGGTAGGACAGTAGTGCCTCCCTGGATGGTTGCTGTCTACCAACCTACTACAGTGGAACTCGGTTTTCATCATTAATTCATTCCAGAAAGTCTGATGAAAAACGAATTCAACGAAAACTGAAGCAATATTTCCCACAAGAAATAATGTAAATTCAATTAATCCATTCCAGATACCCAAAAGTATTAACAAAAAATACACTTTATAGAGAATAACTCTAGTTTTACATACAGAAAATGTTGTAACATTGTAAAGTTGTAAACGTCGTATTTCGTAAGGCTCGAAAGCCATAATTTTCGGAAATCATAATTTTTTTCGTCAAAACATTGACTCATGAATTGTCATTTGACTCATAGTCATTCGTCCCGGATGCGTACTCATGGCCCCAAGCCACCTCACACTCCCTTCCCAGCCAGTGCGGCATTGTTTACCAGTGAGTGACCATCCCCTCACATGTTCATATGAAATATTTCATAACATTCCAATTATTTTAGTGCTTGCTACTGCTAAATAAGCTACCATGGTTCCAAAGAAAGCTCCTAGTGCCATGCCTTTAGTAAAGAAGGTGAGAAATATGATTGAATTCAAGAAAATCATCATGTATAAGAAACTGCATACAACCATAACTTCCATCGTGGCCAAGAAAAAGGAAATCAAGGAAGCTGTTGTTGCAAAGGGGGTAAATATGCTGACAAAAATGAGATCGCCAGTACTTGAAGAGGTTGAGAAGTTACTGTTGGTGTGGATAAACGAGAAACAATTAGCAGGAGATAGTCTTATGCACTCGCTTATTTGTGAAAAGGTTAGGCAGTTGTATGACGATCTCGTAAAGAAATTGCCTGCAACGAATACTGATATTTGTGAATTTAAGGCCAGCAAAGGCTGGTTTCAGAGATTTAAGAACCGTAGTGACACACACAGTGTGATAAGGCATGGTGAGGCTGCCAGTTCGGACAAAATTGCAGCTACAAAATTCGTAAGTGAATTCAAGGAGTACATACAGACTGAACAATTAAAACCCCAACAAGTGTTCAATTGTGACAAAACAGGCCTCTTTTGGAAGAAAATGCCAGAGAGGACCTACATTACTCAGGAGGAAAAGGGACTGCCAGGACACAAGCCTATGAAAGAGAGTAATGCTAGTGGGGATTTCAAAGTGAAGTCATTACTAGTGTACCATTCTGAAAATCCCAGAGCATTCAAGAAAAACAATGTCATGAAGAGTAAATTGTGTGTGTTTTGGAAAGCTAATAATAAGGCATGGGTCACGAGGTAAATTTTCGTCGAGTGGTTCCATGAAGTGTTTGGCCCCAGTATGAAGAATTACCTCCTGGAAAATAAATTGGATCTCAAAGTGCCTCCTGCTAATGGACAATGCACCTGCTCATCCTCCAAACTTGAATGACCTAATTCTGGAGGAGTTTGGGTTCATCACAGTAAAGTTCTTGCCCCCTAATACCACTCCTCTCCTCCAGCCCATGGACCAGCAGATCATTTCAAACTTTAAAAAACTCTACACCAAAGTAATGTTTCAAAGGTCCTTTAATGTGACCTCAGAAATGCACTTCATCCTAAAAGAGTTTTGGAAAGATCACTTCAGTATCCTCCATTGCATAAGCCTTATAGGTAAGGCTTGGGAGAGAGTGATTACCAGGACTTTGAACTCTGCTTGGAGAAAATTGTGGCCAGATTGTGTCCACAAGAGGGATTTTGAAGGGTTTGGGGCTGACCCTGACGAGTCTATGGCAGTTGTGGAATTTATTGTGGTATTGGGGAGTTCCATGGGGTTGGATGTGAGTTTGGAGGATGTGGAAGAGTTGATGGAGGACCACAACGAAGAGCTAACCACTGAGGACTACAAGAGCTTCAGCTGGAACAGCAACAGACTGCAGCTCAGAATATTGTTTTAGAGGAGGAGGAAGAGAGACAGAAAAGGTTGCCTTCTTCAAATTAATAATTAATTAATTAATCCATGTTAAGCGCTAAACCCAAGTGAGTCATTCAGTGCAAGACGTATTGGAGGCTTGATCCTCCGTCTGGTGAGCGCCAGACAGACGCGCTTCCTATTTGTACTCACCTAGATGTTGTTCTTACCTTCTTCAGAAATTAAGGAGATTTTTGAAATGTGGGGTAGGATGGAAAGATTTATGGAGAAACATCACCTTGACAAGGCTGTTGCAAGCCATGTTGGCAACTTGTACAGTGTCAAAGTCTTGGCCCATTTTAGGGAAGTTTTAAAGAGACACCAGAAACAGAGCTCTCTGGACACTTGTTTTGCAAGACAAGGCTCCAGTGACTCTCAAGCTGGTCCTAGTGGCATTAAGAAACAGAGAAGAGAAGTAACCCCCAAAAAGGACTTGGTACCTGAGGTCTTGATGGAAGGGGATTCCCCTTCCAAACAATAAATAATCCAATCTCTCTCCTCCTCCAGTCTTCCATACACTAAGAAGAATCGCCAATAAAGGTAAGTGTTATGCTGTTAATGTTTCATTCATCATGTCCCACTGTACTGTATATGTACTACATCTATATTTCATGTAAAAAAAAATTTTGTTTTATACTTCTGGGTGTCTGAAACGGATTAATTGTATTTACATTATTTCTTATGGGGAAAATGGTTTCGAAAATCATCAATTTCAGAAAGAGTCACACTTTCTGGAATGGATTAATTACGAAAAACGAAGGTCCACTGCATAAAGGACTAATGAAATGGCTAAATGAACATTTAACATTACTTTTACCTTTGGTGAAGACTCTTGTTGGCGTATGGAAGACGGCAAATAAGGGAGAGGGAGGAGAGGTCATCTCTACCACCATCATTACCACCCTCTACCACCATCACTACCACCATCACAATCACAACCACCCTCCACCACCATCACTACTATTCTCTACCACAATCACTACCACCATCACAACCACTACCATCATCACTACCACCCTCTATCGACAAGAAACAAAGCCAGACTGACTCAAAACGCGTGGAATGCTTTGTGTGGGCGAGGGCAGACACATTCAGTATGGCGGACCACTGTCAACTCGACGAAAATTGAGGCGAAAACTGGGACAAAATTTTGACGAAAAGTCGTCGAAAACCAGGGCAAACAAAAACTGAGGTTCCACTGTACCTATAACTATAAACTTCATTAAAAAAAAATTCTACCTTTCTTTTTACAATAATACACATTTAAAATTTACCACTCCATAACCTGTGTCTAGTTTTTAGTAGTCTGTAAGCATTACTATTAATTTGCCCAAAATGCTCATGCACTAGTGGCTTTCTTTGTGTTTAGCAATATCTTATTACATGTAAACTACACATTGTATACTAAGCAAAGAAATAAAAATTTTGAATTTTTTTTTAACTTGAATAATTTTCCTGGGGAAAATTTAAGGCCCCCAAGCATGTTTTATGGGTTTTTACTAGATCTGCCTTAATTATTAGGATGCCCTAAACCAAGACCAATCATTCCTGGTTATATTTTATTAATAAAGAAACTGGGTTTAAACTTAAGATTGTTTATGATGAAGAAGTCAAAATAAAAGGCAAGTGTAATATTGGAAAGGCATGGGGACATGATTAATGAAGAGTGGCTTGGTTGCTTTAGCTGCTGGAATGAATACATGTTTATTTTGTATTCTGTTTTTAAATCCGAACTTACGGAATTTTTTTGAAACTGGCCAAAGTACTGACTTCTGTGTACTTTATAAGGCAATTCTCATAGCTGAATGGGTCGTTTCATGTGCTCAATCGATAAAACAGACATACTAGAAAAATAGCTAAGAATCTGGTCGAACTGAATAGAGCTAATTTAAAATAAGACTGAAAGTGGATGAAATCACCGATGAGTAATTGTACCTAGACCGCCAAATTAGAGCTTGAGTAATTTCATGTTTTCTATAAAATTTCGTATTTTTTGGTGTCATTACCTCCACAAAATAGATTCCCTACCATTTCAGATGATAGATTTTTTTAAATAGTGAATCTGTCAGCCCTCTTAATTTCGAGGATTGGGAGAGTAAAATGGACTAAGAGACCTGATGCGAGAATGAGTTGTGAGGGACGATGATGCCTGAACCAATTGACAAAGTGTTAAAAACAAAGGCCTGGTGTTTGGTGGTTACTCACCTGATCCAACCTGTTCGAGGTCAGCACTGCACCGTTCCACGAGGTACTCAACGCAGGAAAGATGCCCATTCTTGGAGGCCATGACGAGTGGGGTAGCTCCATTCGTTCGCGCGCACACCATGCGAGTCATCTCAACGCGGCTACGATGATCCAGCAACATCTGCAACAATACATTATTGTTATTTACAACAGTAATGAGAATAGGTCATAATACCAAGCCTGCAAGTGTAATAATCCACAACCTAGATATTTAAGATAAAACTAGCTAACTTGTACATGTAGTATATGAAGACAAAAAAAATCACCCTTTCAGTCCAGAATCCCAACAGTGTAATGATGCTGGGGTATGTGTAGAATACTTTCCTCATGGTGCCTTGAAGGTTCAGCATCACCCACCTACAGCAGACTCAATACTGTTGAGAGTTACACTGAATTCGCAGTTGATGAGGACTGTAAAGAAAAATTTCCCTTCCTCAATGTACTCATGCAGACTTGGTAATAAGCTCTTTCAGTTTATCACACCAACTAAGAACGATTTAATGCATTTCCACTCAAACTATGATAAGATGAAACAGGCAGTAGTCATTAGACTATCCGAGGCTCAGAGGTTATGTAGCCTCGAGGAGGAATACGACTACATTCAACAGGTCTTCTTTAAACAACACTTAACTATCCCTCCTGATGTTGTGCTTTGCAGTCATTAACACAACCAAGCTTGACATACCTTTGGCAAACCATACCACGGGTGGGATTTGAACTCGCGGTTAGAGTGTCTCAAAACTCCAGACCCTCGCGTTAGCCACTGGACCAGCTAGCTCCAATAAGATTCGTCCAACTAGGTATATTTCTACACCATAGGAAGGTTAGCATAGGCACCACTGTGTCCACAAATGCAAGTTTTTACAGACGAATCTCCCGCTAACATGGTCGTGACGAACTCTAGCTCAAGTCCTCTCAAAGCCGTCAACATAACTCACGAAATCGTAATGACACAATTGCAAACAAACCATACCACGGGCGGAATTTGAACCCGCGGTCAGTCTCAAAACTCAAAACGTTTGGTAAGGTTTGTCATCCTTCCCAATAGCAAGGTGGCTAATATTTTATTTCCAGTGCCTTCTCTAAGTCGAGCTGAAACTAAAGCTGGAGTGTGTGGTACCATGGTAAGGTTACAATAAAATAAATGAATTTGCCATATTGTCAATTTTAATAATGCCTTCATAACTTGTGACACTACACAGCCAAGATATCAGGAAGTAGTCTCAGTGGTGGCATGGCCAGGACCACAGCTGAACACATTCACAATGTAATCACCTTTGTCAATGTTATCAGAGGTTTTTCCTCAACTGTATTTTCTCTATACTGTGTTCCAACAGTAGGTGGCGCAGAGTGGTAAATCTGTAACCGGTTTCGGAAGCTTTTCTTCCCTTCACATGCAGCACTTGACCTTGGATCCACCTCCCAATATACTGTCTACTTTATCTCTCTCTACTGAACTGATAAAGCCCTTGGCGAGCGAAACGTCCTCTTAATGGTATAACACTGTATCCCTTCTGTCTTACAAATATACGTATCGGTTTTTAAACACCATTTACCTGCCAACTCACATCACCACAAGGACAGCGTCATACAAAGAGGAACGTTCAGGTGACGGAAACACCTCTACGACACGATCATTACGAGTGTCTTCTTTGTGTAATTAACCTCTAGCTATTCGCACGTTCAGTTTAATCGCATATCCTACGATCCTCACTCTACGATCCTCACTCTGCCTACATATTCTCACGTTTCACATAACTTTAGGACTTGAAAAACATGGAACTATCTTGATAAAGAATCCTGTCTTTATTTTGAAGATCAGAGCTTGTATTACACGAGTGAAGTGTTGTTGTCACATAATACTGAAAGACACCAGGTGATACTAGTGCTGACACCAGGTAACAGTAGTGCTGACACCAGGTGACACTAGTGCTGACACCAGGTAACAGTAGTGCTGACACCAGGTAACAGTAGTGCTGACACCAGGTGACACTAGTGCTGACACCAGGTGACACTAGTGCTGACACCAGGTAACAGTAGTGCTGACACCAGGTAACACTAGTGCTGATACCAAGTAACACTAGTGCTGATACCAAGTAACACTAGTACTGACACCAAGTAACACTAGTGCTGACACCAGGTAACAGTAGTGCTGATACCAAGTAACACTAGTGCTGGCACCAATTAACACCAGTGCTGACACCAAGTAACACTACTGCTGACACCAGGTAACAGTAGTGTTGATACCAACACTAGTGCTGACACCAAGTAACACTAGTGCTGACACCAGGTAACAGTAGTGCTGATACCAAGTAACACTAGTGCTGACACCAAGTAACACTAGTGCTGATACCAAGTAACACTAGTGCTGACACCAAGTAACACTAGTGCTGACACCAGGTAACAGTAGTGCTGACACCAGGTGACACTAGTGCTGACACCAGGTAACAGTAGTGCTGACACCAGGTGACACTAGTGCTGACACCAGGTAACAGTAGTGCTGACACCAGGTGACACTAGTGCTGATACCAGGTAACAGTAGTGCTGACACCAGGTGACACTAGTGCTGACACCAGGTAACAGTAGTGCTGACACTAGGTGACACTAGTGCTGATACCAGGTAACAGTAGTGCTGATACCAGGTGACATTAGTGCTGACACCAGGTGACATTAGTGCTGACACCAGGTGACACTAGTGCTGACACCAAGTAATACTAGTGCTGATACCAAGTAACACTAGTGCTGACACAAGGTAACAGTAGTGCTGACACCAAGTAACACTAGTGCTGACACCAGGTGACACTAGTGCTGACACCAGGTAACAGTAGTGCTGACACCAGATGACACTAGTGCTGATACCAGGGAACAGTAGTGCTGACACCAGGTGACATTAGTGCTGACACCAGGTGACACTAGTGCTGACACCAAGTAACACTAATGCTGATACCAAGTAACACTAGTGCTGACACCAGGTAACAGTAGTGGACACCAGGTGACACTAGTGCTGATACCAGGTAACAGTAGTGCTGACACCAGGTGACACTAGTGCTGACACCAGGTAACAATAGTGCTGACACCAGGTAACAATAGTGCTGACACCAGGTGACACTAGTGCTGACACCAGGTAACAGTAGTGCTGACACCAGGTAACACTGTTACTTATACATTATAATCAAACTAAGCGCTAAACCCACCAGGGTCAGTTATACAACACAGTAATGACGGTGCACTGAGCCTTTTGTACCATCATTACTGTAGTTAGTACTGTGTATCATCATTACTGTAGTCTTGCGTAACATCACTACTGTAGTAGTAATGTGTAACATCATTACTGTAGCCAACCTGGGTACAATTACGAAGGTTTTTCAATAACAGTGAAGGTTACATCACCGCCCGAGCATTCACTAGAGCATAAAAAAAAACACGAAACTTGGAAAGTGAATGTTACCTTGACATGAATGTGACAACAGAAACAAGAGGTGAATCATCTTAAAGTGTTAATCTTAGACACGGTGCTTCAACACGCTACATGACCGTCCCCCCCCCCCCAACACTACCACCACTCAACACAATATTACCTCTAGTTGATTTTGGTGGAGCTGAGGAGTCATCGCCCCTGACACCCCGTCCCAGACAGGGCCTACAATAATATTCTGGTACACTAGAAATACTAATATTCATAGTTTAGACTATTGGGTTTCATTTTTTAAAGCATTAAAATAGTTTCGTTATTCAAGGCTGCAAGTATAGTCTCTAACATCAACTGTGTATACACTTATCATCAACTTGCTACTATCGTCACTAATGCACTTCCATATTAAATAAATCACCACAAAACAAGTAAAATTATTCAAAATATTTTTCACAATCCGCACTCCATACCCAAAATTCGTGCTGTCTTCGACTTTGTCAATAAATTTAGACAAAAGGGGAAATATCCCCATTATTTATGCCGACAAAAATGCTGGGTTCTTAATCTTGGGTGCCAATCTCCCTCGGGGAGAGTGGCACCCCTCCCCGAGACGAAGCCTTTACCCCCAAGTCTCAAAATCACCCCCACGTACAGGTGACCCTGAATGGAGATACCTGTGGCCGGTTTCGCTAGTTCTACCCTTAAAGTCCGGCCTGTGGCCAGACTTCCTTGCTAACTGGGTATTTAACCAGTCTGCTCTGCTAACGACACTCAGGCTCACAACCATAACCGCCTACTTGATCTAGGATGTTGATACTTTTTGTTAAGTCAAAGTTTACTTCCATTTGCTTTTCACGTTAAGATACTTAAGTCTTTTTTCACCCATGTTTTTGAGCTAGTTAACAGGTTAATTTAAAAGAAATATTTAAGTTTGACTCGGATATGTAATATGTATGTTGTTAGGTAAGACACATATGCATATGCATATAGCATATGTGTCTTACCTAACAATCTGTCGGTATTTTATACCATTTTAATGTTCAATATGTATGTTAAAGACTATACCTCCCCCCTCCCCGACCTGTGAGCATTGATACTAGCATCTCTCAAGATGACGAGGGACAAGGGCACACAGGTGGAAAGCTGGAGAGACAAGCGAGGACGTCAGTATGTACTTCTTTAGACTCAGTGTGAATAAAGCAATGAGCTGGATAACAGAGTTGCATACTAAATCAATACGCAGATTTGAGAGTAGGTATGACCGAGGTCCCAAAAGACTGGAAACCGGTAATGGCAGTCAAAGTAGTCTTGGAGATAGGGCCAGGTGCTGAGAATCGACCCCCACAAGCAAAAGTCGGTCTGTACATATCACATACCGCTATCTTGAGCAGAGATCATACAACTGAATTAATAATTATATAATTTTTAAAGGGGTGGACCGGTAAGCCAGCGGAAGGTCTCGGTCAGATGACCAAAGCTCCAAAGGCGGGTCATCATCTAAGACCCGCGTCAGGAAACTTGTCCTGTTTCCAGACAAACCTTACCTAACCTATCATACAACTGAGTAGTACAATGTTTACACTGTTACTTCTTTTATCTGCTATGTTGGCGAGAAAAATATAGCAAACATAGCAGATAAATGTTTACACTGTAACTGTTCTTTTATCTGCTATGTTTGTGATAAGATTATTATATGGCATCTTGGTGAA